TGCAATAAGCTGTCAGATGTAAAACCATCTCCTCAGTTCAAGCCTTTCCAAGCACTAGCTCCACTGAGTGATGTTCATTTCCTGTCTTCTTAAGCAGAGCAGCCAGCCCTTCTCCTCAGTCTTGTGTGAATGAAGGAGTCCATGAGGCTGGGCTGTGGAGCTTCCTCTTCTGGTGGGCGCACAGAGGTGAAGATGCAGAGCAAAAAAAGGGATGTGCCCTGTTAGCCTCTGCAAAGACTTGATTTCAAAAGGAGCAGGATTGGGCCTGTGCACAGGTCAAGATCTGCTGCACTGCTTTTTCTCGGGTGTGCCTTTTGGACCATGTATGTGTTGTGACACACCGCTGGTGTCGTCAGTCCCCATGCAGACAACAACGTGCAGTGCAGCCTGTTAATGCAGGTCACTGAAATTCCAGATATTTTGACTGCTACAGAAGGTGGTCACTTCAAGTAGTGTGAGCACAGGGAGAAAAAAACAAGGGGGAACTTGAAGGTCATTTTCCTCTCTGTGTTGGCACGTTGCTTTTCCTGATGTGGCCCCTTGCCTTGCGTGTGACATTTGTGGCTAAGGTGTTGTCATATTTCTGGTATGCTAACATAACATTTGACTGCCTTCCTCTGCATTCTTGTAATTAACTCCTAATATTAAAGCAGTTTCCATCTCTGGATTCCTCAGCAAGCTGATTGAAAGGCGATTTAATTGCACAGCATTGCCAAGAAGCATGTTAGGTGATTGCTGGCTGTAGTAACAAGTAATGTGAAGGTAATAGAAGGTATCACAGGGACTAAGATTTTGCTGGCCATTAGCAGAGGTGACTTCAAAAAGCAGATGATAATTAGTATAGATTTCACTGAACCAAGTTTCCATCTGTTGCTAGTCACTGGATTTTGAGCTGCTCTCCTATTAAAGATTAGCATGTATGTTCCTGGATTCTCAATAGAAAGGACACTTAGGGGAAAAGGGTATAAATCAACAAATAACTGTGTAACCTGCAAAAATATAAATCTATGTAGATTAATCCGTGTTTCCTAAATTGCATGCTAGATTGCAATTCAATCAAAGGGTAGGGGTCGTGTGACGTTTATGAACATTTATGGATGGTATAAGCACTCAGATTAAATGTCAAACCTGGTATTCAGTTTAGAATCATGTATTATTGTTATTCATTAATATATAACAACAACAATTATATCCACTAAAATCCTCAATTTAATTTTGCTGTAATCTGTCTCTGCTGTGTCAGAGATGCAGTGCAGTCTCTTTGCCCCCTCAGATAATTTAAAGGGCTCCACTGAATTTCAGCCAGTCTGTGCTTTTACCCCAGCATGGCACTGGCTCCATTTGGGCCCCTCTCAACTGAGGAATTCTCTAGTGAATTATTTTCTTTATCTTCCACCTTGATTAAATTTTAGTTTTCATACTGAACAGGTGTAGTGCACCCAGAAGGGGAGGAGAGGCAAAACTCTGGATCTGAGATCCAGTTTACTGAGTATATTACACATGATAAAACTGTACCCCTCACTGGCTCCATATCAGTAAAGGGTGAAAATGCTTTGAGGCAAAACAGTCATTTTAGGATTATCTAAATTTGTTGTCAGTCCTTCAAGTCTGCTTCTTCCCAGTCTGGGGCTAAAGGGCTAACATTGCTCACCTTGGTGTGCTGCTTTGCATCAGAGAGATCCTAAATCACTTTGCAAAAATGGAGCAGAATCACTGTCCCAATTTACTGCTAAGACAGCACTTGAAGCAGGTTAACTCAAGCCACTTAGTGAATAAAGTGTAAGAAGCAACTGAATGCCAATTGCAGAAATGACTTTGGCACCTAAGATGTTAGTGTTGTTGAAAGGAAGCAATGCTTAAGCTAACAAAGGCAATATATTTCATCACAGTTTACAGCCAAAATTTTGCTGACTTTCAATGAACTTCAACATGAATGCCTCAGTCACTTTTGAAAATTGTAGTTAGCGTCATAAATCTGTTATCTGTTTATATGATGTCACTCATGCCACTGGTTTTCACCATCTTAACTTCCCATAAATAGAAATTCTTCAGTGTCTAGGAACCTTATTCTCTTTAAACTCGGGGGGACTAGATTCCTAAATAGCCTTAACATGTAGACCTTGCTTGTCTCTTAGTCTTTGTGATTTAAATGGAATTTATTCATGTAGCAAAGAAAGAGAAAAGGAGAAGGATCTGACCACAGTGAAGCAAAGACAGGTTTAAGATTAGCCCTTGGCTGTTCTGTTCAATGGCCAAAGCATCTTCCAAGTAATCATGATTAATTAACACTAGGAATTCAATACTAAAAAAAGATCAGTGGATTCCATTGGTCCATTCCACCAGACAGAGCAGGTTGAAAACAAGCGACATAAATAGAGACAGGTAACTATTCTGTTTATAACATAGAGACATGGGGAAAATGGTCAGCTTTCTTCAAGTTCATTTTCTTATGTTATTATATATTAATATGTCTTGAAGAAATCTACTGTGTTAATCTAATGTAATTAGGTTAAATGTCTCTAGTGACCAACAGTGCCATATGATAAGAAGTTTCACCCCAGCATTTTAATGGTTCAGGTTCTGCTCATGGTTTCAATTAAGTCAGCATAATTGCACAAGGCAGTGAGAACAGGATTTGGCCCATTTCTCTCCTGCATACGTGTTCTGCAGTTATCTAACCTGGAATGAATCACAGACACATCTTGTTTTTTACAGTACTTTACAGGGAAAATTTTGTTTTCATGTATTTTCTTTTGAACAAAACTGATAATCAAGTGTCCAGACCAGTTGCAATAATTTTTAAAAGTACAGTGTTTCAGTTCTGGTGATTTTGCCGGATTCTAGTGTGCAGCTTCTAGTGTATTGTGCCGGTCTATAATTACCCTACAGTTTTAATTAGGCAGGAAAATCTTGTTCATTTCTTAGAGCAAATTCAGTGGTAATGTTTGTATAAGTCATTACTCAGCATCTCCATAATCTCAGGCCATAATTTGTAGAATTCTTTGGCATCCATGTTGTCAAAATTGCTTGATGATTTCCCTTAAGAGAACTTGTTTTATGTTGCTTATAACAGAGCCAAACTCTAATCTCAGCCTAAAATTTTCCATTCTGTGTTTTCCCCCATACTGGATGCCTTCCGGTTTTTTTTTGGTTGTCGTTGTTGTTGGTTGGTTGGTTGGTTGGCTCTGGGACTCCAGGGCACATTTTTTTGGCTCCAACCTCTTGTCTCAGGTTCTTCCCCGGTTTGTAGCTCACTGTCCCATTTGCCCAAAACTCTGAAAGAAGTACTACCCAACTACCAGCCCCTAAGAGTGTTTCACTATCATCTATTACAGATGAATCCACAGACTTCCATGGTTAAGTCTTCAGGAGAAATGTAAGAGGAAAATAGGGGGTACGTGCTTAGGAAAGGAGATTTTTCTCCACCAGGAAAACTTCCCTCTTACAGTTCATTAGAATAATGGATTCTTGAAAGCAAGGTAGTGACCTTCTCTTCACCAGCTTGATCTTCCCCGTCCTTTCATTTTATGTCATTTCAGCTTTTCATTCTGCACAGAATCCATCCTGTCTTCTGTCTCATGCAAGTCTTCCTTACATGTGGGAGCAGTCACATTTCTCTCCTTTACAGAGAAATCTGCTGTTAAAAGGGCCTCTCTGGGTGGCCTGTCCAAAAGATGCTATAAGCATCTTGTTTCCTGCCCTGCAGTTTTTAGGATTGTCTCTGCTCTTTGCTGTGTTTCCTACACCTTCCTTGCAAACCAAGCCCTGGATTTGTACACAGATGCTTTCTCTCACACTCTCCTCTACCAGGACAATAATTCCCACAAATAGTAGCTACAACCCTGAACAGATTTTCTGCCTGCCTTCCCTCTCTGTCTCTCTCCTGTGACAGCTCCTCTCTTTCCCTTCACTCTCTTAACTCAGGTTTATATTTCTCTGAGGTTTTTTTAATTGCTTTGAGGAATGACAGAGCTATTCTCGCCCTGTAACTACACAGGAAGCAGAAGCTGAGGGCCAGGTCTTAAGTGCTGGAGTACACCACATGGATCCCATGGTCGTTTTCTACTGTGCTCCTGGTCCCCTGATAACAATCTTCTGGAGAACACTGTCTGGCCTGACTGCCCAAATTTTTTTCAGCTTGGCAAAGGGAAGGGGAGGCAGGACTGATTTGTAGCTTTGAACATTTGGGGAGCATCTGCCTTTGTTTTCTGTGTCCAACAGGAGTGTGTCTTCTTGTTACAATTCAGAGCATCAGGCTTTGATTAATTTTGTTTATTGCTTCATCCCAGGTTATTATGTTTTGGAAATAAATATGGAAATAAATATGTTGGCAGTAAAGCTTAGTTACTCCATTGTAGACCTGTAGTCTACCAGAAGTTTGCAAACCTTTAGCCATTCCACTTTCATGCAGTCTTTTTTTTCCTTAGGGGTCTCAGGGTAACAAATCAATCAAGTCCAAGATACTGTGTTGACAGAAGGAACTAAGACAACACAATTTTTCTGTGCAGCTATCAGCTGTAATGTAAGCATTCTCAGCCCTAATAATAAGCCTAACCCCTCTTCTGTGAAGGTCAGGATCAAGAAGGCGAGTTCTGTTTCAGAGTGCTGTATCATCTGGCATGACTGCTAAGAAGGATGCTGTTCAAATCTGGCAGTGTTTTTGTGATAAGAGCATTTGTCCATAGGAGCCACAAGCCTATTTCACAGAGACTGTTGAACAGCCACCAGAGGATATTTAGTCTCGGCTGGCCTGGAATTATCCCAGGACTGAAAAGCTCCTCAGCCATTACCACTTCTTTCAGCTATATAGTTCTGGGGTCGGGTAGTTTCAAAACTTCCAAGATCTATGTTTGTGAATTTAAAAGATTTTTTTTTTTCCTCTGCTGTGGGAATTGCCAGCATCTGTAAATCTCCTTGATCCCTGTTTTATATTATTCCACTGGTATCATTTAGTGTGTTTGTTAACAATTTGATTTTCTTTTTTCTTTCTCTCTTCTCAGATCACTCACAATCAGTTTGTGGCCTTTCTCTGCAGGAACCTTTCCTTGTCTCTTGTGTAAGTACTTATAACATTTTATACTTTTCATTGATATAAGTTTTGCCTTTTCTTCAAGTTCCATCAAAGTCAGCCCAGGGCCTCTGTTGCTTCCCATGGTCACAGGACTCAATACTGAATTTTCATTTTAATGCAGTCTAAGATTTTAATGCAGTATCACCTTATGGGACTCAGATTTTAGTTCAGTGACATTGTGTGATTGATTAATCTGGAATTTATGTGCACAATTCTGGATGACAATACGGAAAATTTCTGGTTATATATGGGGATATACATGTTTTGATGGAAGTTATGCTGCTGTGTTCTAGTTCAGAATGAAATATAAAGTATTCCATGCTGTGCCAGTGCAAAACAAGTACAGAATACAGTCAGCTAGCATTGCAACCTGTCCATGCTGAAGTTTGACCCTGCGGTGAGGGACCCTTCCTTACCCAGTCCTGGCTGCTCTCTGAACTGCTCTTCTTATTTAGGTAGATGAAATGTGCTGTATTCTTATTGACATCCAACAGTACCAGGATTAAAGATATGTCAGCGATTTCTTTGGAAGGTGTTGCAGGGGTCTGTTCTCACCTAGTCACATTCACTTGAGTTTTTCTGCTGCTATGTAGGTTGGTGATTCACTGACCTTTTTAACTGAAGAAAATACTATGTTTATCCAGATAATTGTGTTTTCAAGACCCAGAACAGGAAGAATTAATGTTTTCATGGTTTAAGTTTTGGGTTTTTTTCCTTTCTGGGGAGGAATAAAGGATGGAGCCTTTGGGAGTTTGTTTATTTGTTATCATTTGAGTTTTAATTTTGTCAGATTCTGACACACGATGGTTTTTCACATTTGGAACAAAAACTCACATTTTTCTGGGATTCCTTCATACAAATTGGCAGTGAAATCTAGTGCTTTTGAAACAATGACTCTTCTTGTTGAAATATAAGGGGAAATATAGCACTACCACTTCATAATATTTACTATAGTTAAGTAAAGACAGACCAAAGTTTCAAAATGTCCACCAGCATTTTAAGCCACTGTTTTGGGATGTCCAAGCTGAAGCTATTTTGTGAATGCCAAAAATAATGAAGGCTTTTAAATTTAGGTTTAGAACTCCACGTTCAAATATACCTGGACTTTGTGTTACTTCAGATCTCTACTTTGCAATTTAAATTCATGTCTCTTACCTGTTTAGAGAGAAAAGTAGATGACTGTTAAAGTGCTGCCTGGAATTAAAAAAAAAAAAAAAAAAAAAAAAAAAAAAAAAAAAAAAAAAAAAAAAACCAAAAAAACAAAACAGCACCATAAGAGAAATAGCTCTCATATTTAGGAGAGGGATTAAACCTCCGAATCTGTAAATTTATATTCAAGTTCTGTTTTGATTGTTGGTATTTCTTTAAAGGGATGTGAAAGTGCAAATGGACATTCATAATTTTTTCAAGGTGTTTGAAACCACGAAAGAGCTTTTTTTCCCCCAATACTAGAGCTAAAATACGTGGGTTTAACATTTAAAGTTGACCCACTACTTTTGCAAAGCAGAAGGAAATGGCACTCTGCCTTCTCCCCCACCCCGTGGGCAAAAAGAGGAAATTTGCTGCAGTGGCTGCAAAAGGTGGTATGACAATGCCAGCTCCCAAGGAGATGTATTTGAGTTGACCTATCATGCCTATGGTGTCCCCATATTTCTTTCCCTTCTCTTTTGCCTTTCATTAGAATGTGTCCCAAATCTGTAATTTACAACATGCTGCTCCAGTTTTGCTCTGATATATTTGCTACAAATAAGTAGGAGCCTATGCATGTCCATAGCTGCCCGTGGCGGTGTCAGGCCTGCGAGATGAGGGGAGCAGAGGCACCCAGAGAATGCAACATGGCTTATGTCTAATGTGACATTTATTTGACTCAGAAAGGCAATTGATTAAAGGCCCATCGGATCTTTGCCATCATGTATTATGTATTTATCCGGCAGGGGCAGTTTATAATGGCCCCTGACAAATCCTATTATTTTTGTTGCAGTACTTCATAATATCAATAAAAAGCATTAATGATACTCGGGAACGAGAAGCGTTAACACAGCTTGTGTTAACACTTCCCACAGCAGTGGCAAAACCATTTTTGTCTGTGGCAGACACCATGTGCCTTCAACATTTGCACAAAGGCACCGGTTTAACGTGGTTCTACCTCTGCAGGGCAAGGCAGTTAGGTGGAAGCAGCAAGCTGGTTTCATGATAGGTAGGCATGTGGAAACCTGAGGCTGAAATCCCTCTTTGACAGTGCTTTGCTGTGTGACCATGCATTTGTTTTTTCCCATCTGGCTGCCTTTGTTTCTTGACATGTAGGATTAGAATCATGTGTTCTCTTTCTTCTTTAGATCTCGCTTATTCCACAGCCAAGAAGGGCTTCTTGGTGCTTGTCCATTCCTAAATTAGCAAGCTCCATAGGAGCCCAACTATATCTCAGGCATGTCTTTTTCTGTATTGGCTCTCCCCTTTCTCTCTGGAATGCAGGTCCTTCAGGCCATTGATAGTCTGGGTTCTTTCTGGTAGCAGAAAAAGTGTAAATGGGACATTTTTACATTAGAAGCTCTTAATGGTACCTGACAAGCATGTTTCTGATCTAGATAAGTGATTTGTTCTGCCCTCTGTCTCAGTGTCCAGTACTGGGCTCTCTTTTCATATCCCTTCCCACAACTTGCTGCTGATTCAGTCTTCTTCCTTCTCCCAGATGTTACATACACATCTGCCTAATTATATGGCATCAGGGTTTTCGAGGTGGACGGATTTTATCGATCTCCCCCCCAAACTATATTCCCACTTAAGAGGAATACAGTTAATCTCTGCTCCCCTTGAATATCCCCAGGACTTCAAGAGGCACAGGTGTATTCCTTGTCAAAATCATTCTTTTCATGGAAGAAGTTTTCCAACCAGCCTGTAGCAGTATGGACATTACTAAGGTGCTTTACAGTAGGAGAGATAGCTACATAGGATAAAGAGAGACAGAAGGACACTTGTTTAACTTGCAGAGCACTACCTGTTCAGATGGAACCCATACAATATTGAAAAGTTAACTGCTGTTAGCATTGGTAAATGCAAATCAGAAGTGCACCAAAGTGATCCAGACACAAGGAAGTTGCAGGACATGTTAACATAATTCCATGGATACCTGTCCATCTTGTTTAAATAGATTTCTGATGTAACCAGGTTGTACTGAGCTCCAGCATCATTCCTATCAGACTGAGCACTGATTCTAATTCTTGTTACTTGACATCCTGGTTTAAAAAAGGAAAAAGAAAAAAAAAACAAAAAAAAAGGAAAAAAAATCCTAAAGGAAAAAGAAAAGAAGGGAAAAAGTGTAAAAAAAGTGCAATTTATTCCCCAGCTTCATGAAGACGTATTTGGTCAAGTAATGATGACCTAAGGGAAGCTGAGAGGCATCTTACTGATCTCATCATAGTTATGAGAACCATCCATCATATGGTCAATGATTTGTAAGTCAAAAGACACCCAGCAGTATTCCAGCCTGCCAGTCGCCAGTTTCTGAGAATCCTTATTGACTTTACCAGACGTGATGATGCTCAAATAGTCTTTGATATCTATGTATATGTCCCTGCTTTGGTACTTGTTCACCACCAAACTGTCATCTGTTACCACTCTGAACCATTATCGTCAAATAGCAACTAATGAGTCCCCTCTGAATCCCTTTATCTGGTTCTGTGCTTGGTGTTGCTTTGCAGATGAGGAACAGCAACAGGGATTGCTACATCAGGAACAGGGAGGAGGCATCTTTTCTCAGGTTTCTTAAGAAGCTCTCCCTTACTTGAGAAGAGGATAATAACCTCCAGGTCAAGCTTATTCATGAATCAGAAAAGAACATTTGCAAAATGCCAAAAAAAGTCTACATATAATAAGCCTTATGTTTACAACAGCTTTCAAGAGTTAGCGTTTTTCAAGAATTATCATAATTAATGTAATAAATAGGCATGTAAATTATCCAGAAGAATCAGTTGATCTGCTTCTGAAAATAAGGAGGTTTAGGAAAGGAATGGTCACCTAAACAGCAATCTGAGACAGGAAAGGAATATTTTTTCCCCAGCTATTACATGTCTCCTGAAGGGAAGGGAATGTTCCAAAAAAGAAAACAACATGGGCAGAGGCAAATGAGAGAAATGGTGAAACAGCCTCAAAATGGCAGCAGAGCTGAAATTCTACTCTGGTGTATTTATAGAAATGAAACAGCATAACCAAGAGTACACCTTGGGATGAATGTCCTTGAGCAGTGCCACAATTTTAAGCTTTATTCTTTATCTGAAGATGTAGCCATCAAATAAGCAATATATGTGTATGGGAAAAGACCCTCATTATTTAAAAAAATCTGTCAAAGTTCACAGGTTTGTTTTAAAACATCTGTCATAAAAATAGACCAAATACCCAGAAAACTCAAGATGTAGCCAGATTTACAAAAAGGGGCAAAATTTGGTCCCAGTTTTTCATTCAAGCATTAGTTTAAGTGTTGGCATTCAAATTGTTTAGTAAGTAATAAAGGCTGCAAATAGCTGTGAAGTTGATGTGTGGATTACAGTAGAGGCATGTGTGCAACCTGCCTTCTAATTGCAATACCTACAATATATCCACTGGTGCTGGATGAGATTGAACTCAAGATTGGGCAGCATGACAGCTTAAAATGTCACACCTTTCTGCCATTATGCGTACTAGCAATCTCTTTGTTCTGAGTTATTTTTCATTTACTTAGTGTAATATAAGGCATTGAGTATTAGCTATTTTTGAAATACTACACAGTACAACAGGGAAAAAAATTGAGTTTAACTGGACAGTTGTAGGAGCATAATATTTTTGGTTTAACTAGAAAAAAAAAAAAGGAGACAGAGAAAATGGAGTTGTTCAATGCACTTTTACCCACACTGGTATAATTTAATATATTTGGATGGAAAAGACCACCTTTCTGAAGCAGTAGCAGCATTTCCTACAGCAGTTTGAACATCAACCATCAAAATATTAAGACA